GTGATCCACCCGCCTCGGCCTCCCAAAGTGCTGGGATTACAGGCTTGAGCCACCGCGCCCGGCCCGAGCCCGGGCCTTCTAGTGTCTGACCAGCAATGGCCTCTCTCCATGCCAACCCCACCCCAAACCAGGCAGATGGTCCCACATACGATGCCCAGGAACTCACAACGCCCTGGACCCCAGTCGCCACGCTCACCGGTGCACATAGGTTCTCAGGTACTGGGGGGCGTCGTAGTTCACCACCAGCTCCACACCCTGCACGTCGATGCCCCGGGCAGTGGCGTCCGTGCTGATGAGCCTGCCGGGACACGAACACTGTGGGCCCCTGCACCCACCCCACAGAGGCCTTGCCCCTGCCCAGGGACTCACAGCTGGATCTTCCCCTGTTCAAACTGCTTCAGGATCGCCCTCCTCTGGCCAGGCCCGTAGCGTGAGGAGAACTCAGCCACATCCACACCTCCAAAAGCTTGCACCAGCAAGAAGAGCCTAGGCAGAGAAAAGGCTGGCGCCTAGGGTTGCTGGGACCAGGCTGCCTCTGCCGCCCCCAGCCCAGCGGGGCCTCACCTGTGGGAGTTCTCTCGGGAGTTAGTGAAGCAGAGAACCCTCGAGAAGCCCATCTCCAGGACCAGGTGCAGGACAACCAGCGGCTTGGAGCTGAGGCTGCAGGGCACGTAGTGGTGCTGCAGGGATGGCAGGGGGTGGGGGGTGGGGTTGAGGTGGGGGTTGGGGCCCCAGGCTCCCAGCGCAAACCTCTGCCCTGCGTCCCACTCACTGTGAGCCCCACAGGGAAGGCGTACTTCCCTGACTCCTTGTCCTCGTCTGTCTCTTCCAGGCCCCTATGTGCCAGCCCTGAGGAGAAAAGCCGGGGCTGGTAGAGGCCCAGCTGCTGCAGCTTTTCGGGGTTCTGGGTCAGAGTAGCTGAGAAGAGCAGCTTTTGCAGGGGCATCTGGGGACAGCAGATACTGGAAGAGAAGGGGGTGTTGCTGGCACTCTGCCAGTGGCTGTCCCAAGACCACTGGGAATGGGATTCCTCACGCCATGTGGACCAGGGGCAAAATGGTCTGGCTCACATGACAGAATGACATGGTTCTGAGCACTGGAGCTCCAGCCAGCCTTGTCTCCGGGTGATGAGAACGGAGAGCTGTGCGCAGAGGCCTCTGCTAGGCGGAGCCAGCACCTGGGCATGCTGCCGGATACCTGGCGGCTGTCACAGCCTGGGCCTGCCTTCGCTGGAGCAGGGCACAGGGGTCTGCAGGGTCCTCGCTCTGGAAGGCGGCCGCCACCACCCGTGGCAGCCAGGACTGATGCATGCTGTCAATCATCCGGTCTGCCTCATCGATGATCTGCAGGGAGGCAAGGAGCCCGAGACTGGGTGGCATGGCCCTGACCTCAAAGCCCAGGCCCAGGGGCAGGGGACCTACCAGGAAGCGGAGCTGCTGGAGGCTGAATCCTGGGGTCTGGTCTATGTGGTCCACCAGGCGGCCGGGAGTGGCCACCACAATGTCAGCCAAGCAGCGGTACCCGTCGGCTCTACAGAAAGGAGAGTGCCTTGACAGAAGGCAGCTTTCTCCAGGGATCCAGAGAAGCAAGATGCGGCCTTGCCCGCAGCCCTGACTCCACCCCACCAGGGAAGGGGCGGATGGCAGGTCCTCCACATCACAGGAGCAGATAGTTAAACGTGGCAGTCCCTCAGGCCACATGCAGGGCTCAGCAGGGCCCCCCTGAAAAACCCACGTCCTGCCACAACGTACGTTTTCTGGACAAGGCTCTCCTGCTCCTTGGCCAGAGACTTCTGTCCTGTAACCAGGGAGACTCTCAGAGGCGTGGTGTCTGTGTAGATGTTGAAGACTTTGCTCACCTGCAGGAAGAGTTTGTCACTGGCCTGGAGATGGCTGCTGTCCCCCACTGCAGCAAAAAGGACTCCGGATCTAGTCTGGATCCCCTAGGGGCTGATCCCTGTGCACTCGGCAGGGAAGCTGAGGCTGGTGGGGCCATGCTCCAGGTCTAAAGTCCTTGTACCTGCTGGGCCAGCTCCTTGGTGGGCAGCACCACCAGGGCACGGACATGACATACCACTCTTGACAGCAGGGCCTACGGGGGAAAGGAGCGCCCACGTCAGCAAAGCCGTTCCCTGCCCTCTGCACATTTGCTACAGAGAAAGGGGACCTCCACACAGACCTGGGGGAAGGAACGCCTACACCAGCAAGGCTGCTCTGCACACCTGCTTCAGGGGAAGGGGACCCCCCACACAGACCTGCACCACAGGGATTACAAAGGCCAGAGTCTTCCCACTGCCCGTCGGGGCAGAAACACAGAGGTCGCTAGGCCGGTAGCCGCCTCTGCCCACCAGGAACCCGCAGGCCGCACTCTCCAGGAGAGCGGGAATCACAGCTGCCTGCACTGGATGAGGAAGGGGAGAGAAAAGTTGTGTTTGCGCCTGGGCCTGCCACCTCCCTGCCTGTGGTCTCTGGGCTGGGCACCGGCGCACCAGCCTGAGGAGACCCAAGGGGGAACCGTGAGCTTGAGGGTGCTGAGACCACACTTGGCACGCCGTGGCCATGAAGCCTCTTGTGTGAGTGCCCAGGGAAATGCCCCCTCATTTGCCTGCCCGGGGCTGGGGCACCTGGAAAGTAGGACGAGATGCCGTGTGCCCGCAGCTGCTTCTGCAGGTCAGGGTGGACCTCAGGGATGTCCTCAATAGGAACCAGGTCTTCGGTAACATTCTTTCTGACACAGCTGGGCTCAGCCAGCCACTTGGGCAGGAAAGGCTGGACCTGCCACCAAAAGCAAAGAAATTAGGTGAGTGCTTTGCAGGTTCTCAGGTGAAGCCCGGGGCAGAAGAGACTGTGGGAGGGAGGCCAGGGAAGCGTCCTCTCGAGTCTCCAGCTCCTCAGCCCCAAGAGACGCTTTCCATGCAGCCTTCAGAGAAGAAATCGAACAGCCGCCTCCACTCCCAGGCCGACCACCCTCCCGGCCGCCGCCGCTCACTTTCGGCGCCTTCCTCCTCCCGAATCCACCGAGCACCAGGCCGGGAGCCAGGGGTCCGGCCGCCTCCTCCGGGACCCGTCCGTCTGGAGCCGCCTTGGCGCGGGCGCTGCGCTCCCCCGGCGCCTCCTCGCTGCTTTCGGCCCGGCAGACACCTGCGGGGGAGCGCGTCAGCACCGGGTCGCTGGCGCCTCGGAGGGAGCCCGCTCGCCCCGCGCGCCGCGGCCCACCTGCGCCCGCGTCCTCGTCGTCCGCCTTCCGCCGCTTTCCCCGACGCGCCTCCGGGCTCTCCGGCTCCGAGCCGTTCACCCGCCGCCGCCGCCGGGGCCGCCGTCGCTTCCTGCTTGCTGGCTCGGTCGGTGCAGCCGCCTCGGTCGGCGCGGGCTCCCGCTGCTGCTGCCGCTCCCTGGCCCGGCTCTGCAGCCGCTCGAGCAGCGTGCGGGCCCGGCCGTGCGCCCCGACCTCCGCCGCCTCGGGTCCCGGGTACCGCGCAACGTAAAACAGCGCCATTGCCAGCCGCACGCCTGGGCCTCGGGCAGCGCGCGCGGTGATGACGTCGCGGCACGCCTGGGACTCGGGCTCGGCGCGCGGTGATGACGTCGACAGCACGCCTGGGACTCGGGCGCGGCACGCAAATGTGGGGTCTGGGTGGCGCGTAGAGATGACGTCGGACTCTACGCGCGGCGGCAACGCCACGGAAGCGCTGGCGGCCGGGCATCCACGTTTTTCTGCGTTGGGAGCGTCATGGAGCAGGAGCCGGGCGCCGCGGGCGCTCGCCGGGCGCTGGGCCGCCGGCTGGAGGCGGTGCTGGCGAGCCGCAGTGAGGCCAACGCCGTTTTCGACATCCTGGCGGTGCTGCAGGTGGGTCCGGCGGCGTCGCAGGGGTGGGGTCGTGGCCCCGGAGCGGGACTCGAATGGGGGGCTGCGGCGGCAGGGCCCTGGGAGGTTCAGAGACGGCGTTGGAGGGTCAGGGTGGGAGGCGCGTGGGTCACGGGCTGGGGACGACGGGGCTGGCGTCGCGAGGGGAAGGGGAGCAGGCGTGAGGGGCGGCCTAGGCGGGGGCGAAGGTGACAGTTCCCGGCTGGGCACCCTGCCGCCGCCTCCTGCAGTCTGAGGACCAGGAGGAGATCCAGGAAGCAGTCCGCACGTGCAGCCGTCTTTTTGGTGCGTTGCTGGAGCGGGGAGAGCTGTTTGTGGGCCAGCTGCCCTCTGAGGAGATGGTCATGACAGGTAACCACTGGAGGGCCTCAGGGCTGCTCTTCCTCTTTCTGTGGGTCGGAGGGAGGCTTTGTCACCGTGGGATGAGCGTCCCCAATCCTAGCACAGGCCGTGCAGGCCGGTGGGAGGACACACCAAACCCACCGTGGAGGATGGGCAGTGCCGTTGGGGAGGGGTGACATGGGTGCTCCGCAGCTGGGTTTAGACGAATGCGTTTGTTTTGCACCCGTTTGTAATTTGATGTTGTTTTTTTTTTTTTTTTCTGAG